GTCTCAAGGAGAAAATTATCTTGTATATGCGATTCTCTTTGGCATTTTAATCACATTTAGCCGTGGATTTGTGAATTATTTAGAGAATACTTAAATGTGTGAGTCACATAATTCGTAAATAGCCTTTTGAAGCTATTATTTATAAAAAATATTCACGTTAGATTTTTAAATTTCCGTTAAAAATAAAGAAGTACATTTTGATTCCACCAGATGGCGCTTTTCGGACGACACCTATCGCGCACTATTAGTACCAACATCTCCGCCAATCGCTTTACGCGGTTCTTTTCCATGAAGGGCTGGACACTCGGATTTTTGTTTTTCATATTTATTGGCGCGCTTTTAAATTCTATGTAATGTACGAACAAAAAGGTTTACAAGAGGTTCACCTCTCTGAGATATTTCTATCCTGCTTTTCCTATCACAGCTCTAACGGTATGAGTTACAAAATAATATAAAATATGTATATATACATTACCGACATTGCCTTCCCTCCTGCACCATGCACCATGCATTACCTCGTCGGCTTTGACCGGGTAAGTCCGGTCGCTTTCTCGATCTGTCGCGCTCTTGTCGAAGCCTCGCTTGCATTAGGGCACGGGCCATTCGGCCGGCCTGCGCTTGATTCGATCCAGCAATCACTTGAATCTCGTCTATCGTCTTAGAACAGATTTTCAATGCGAAAAATCGTCGTCTTTTCAATATCTTTCAATTGATCGCAACATACGCTGCCGAAGAAGCTCAGTAGCTCAACTCAATTTTGAGCTCATTTATCTTCAGTTTTAGCCATTTTTGGCGTATCGTTGGCCCTACCGTATACAATCTAGCTTGTACTCTGAGAATCTGGCATCACTGCTCGGCAGCACAGCTGACGGGCGCCGTTACTCTGCAAAAAGCGTGCGTGCTTCGCTTCGGATTTCCCAAATTTCAATTTGCATTGCAGATCAGCAAAATCTGTGTGAAAGTCATTGAAAATGAACAATTTTATCGAACCTTCAGCTGCATCGCCCAGCATAGGCGATGCGGGGCGCATTACTATGCAGAACATCAGTTCATCATCAGATCAGTTCTTGGTGCCGAATTTCGAAAAGCGCAGCAGCATTGCCGCCACACACCTGCCATTGCCGCTGCAGCATTTCTTTCCTGTGTCGCCTGTGGTGCCGCCGTCTGTGGTGACGGCAGTGGGGCCCGAAGTCGACTCCCCGCAGCCATCGCGTTCGCGGATGGCGCAAATGGAAATCTATTGGAATGGTATAGCGTCCGTGAATAATAAGATGACTATGGATATCACCAAAACAGAGCCCGGACTCGTCGGGCTCTCATCGAATCAACAGCAGCAGCACTCAAGACAGCAGCAGCAGGCCGCCAGCATGAACAGCAACAGTGGCAACAACGTGGGGCAGAATACCAACAACGGTTGCAACAGCAACGGCGGCGGGGTGAACAGCGGCAACGGCAACGGCAAAGGCAACAACAACAGCCTCAGCAATGTCCAGAGCATTGCCGCTGCGGCCAACAACAATAACAACAACAACAATGGAAGCCTGCTGTGCGCCGGCTGCGGCAAGCACATCAAGGACCGTTACTTTCTGCGCGCCCTGGACATGCTGTGGCACCAGGACTGCCTCAAGTGCGGCTGCTGCGACTGTCGCCTGGGCGAAGTGGGGTCCACCCTCTACAAGACGGGCAACCTAATGCTGTGCAAGCTTGATTATTATCGATTATTTGGCAACACGGGCTACTGTGCCGCCTGCAGCAAGGTGATCTTCGCCTTTCAGATGGTGATGCGCGCCCGCACCAATGTCTACCATTTGCATTGCTTCGCCTGCCAGCAGTGCAACTATCGATTGTGCGTTGGCGATCGGTTCTATTTGTGCATGAACAAGATTCTCTGCGAGTACGACTACGAGGAGTGGCTGCTCTTCGCCACGATTGCCGCTGGCGTCCCGGGTGCCGCCGACGAACTGCCCGGCGGAGGACCAGGCGTCGCCAACATGGGTGTGGCCGTGGGCATGGTCAACGGTCCGTGCACCCCCGGCGACCACAACAATAACAAGGGACCCCAGACGCCCACCGGAGGCGACTCTCCGTTTGCGGCCGCGGCCACTGCTGCTGCTGAAGAACCAGCTAGGGGCGTCCAGACAAAAAAAAGCCCTGGGCACGGGCGCGCCTAGGAGGAAGAGCGTCTGGATCCATTGGAGCAGCAGGAGGAGGAACAGCAGCTGGAGGAGGCGTTGGCAGCATGGGAAGCAGCTGAAAACGCTAAAAAACAATACTCTACAACCGCAACTGAATCGAGAAGGGTAGATCGTGGCTCGTCGCTCTTGGAACGAGGGAGACAGGGGGAGAGAGACCGCGAGATTTGATGCCACATGCTTACGGATGATGGAGTCGATATTCAATCTTCGTTTGCTTTTGACTGAGCTCAAGTCTTATAGTGTTATAGATTTAGTTTTTGGTTAAGTTGTCTCACAAATCACTTGCTGAATGTTGCACATGTTGCAAGTGCAGAACTAAGTTTTCATTTCCCTTTCGAATGGGCAAATATTCGTTTCATAGATCGATTTTTTTTTTTTTTATTTGTCGAGTGTGTACCACCTCATATGGGTATACTCGTATTCGCATTCATATTCATATTGATATTGATATATGTATGTAACAAATAGTTTTTAGTTTTCACGCTCGAAGCGTTGCGGTGCCAAAATAAATTCAAACGCATTCCTTGTTTCCCCCCTACTCATCATTTGCATAGACTTTTTTTCTTGGTTCTTTTATTCTTATATTCCCTCCAGTTCAATTGGCCTACACCCTTTCTGGCCCCAAGCTGCTATGCCGCGATCGCCTCTTCATACCCCCTAGGTAAATTTATTAAGTTATTATTTATTCTTTTACTTTATTTAACACTTTCTTTTATTTTAGCAGGTCTCCTTCCCTCTTCTGGTGTTCCGATTAATACGAAGGAGTGTGCGCTCGACGACGGCTGTCCACCCCAGGCGACCGGCTGACATCACGAGCTCCCAGCCGTCCCCTGCGCACTGGGCCACGATACAAAGCGCCCCTTGGGACATGATTCCTGTCGCGCGACACTGTGATCTTTAGTCTGGTCTACTTTTTTGTCCGGCCACTGCCAGAGCCCTCATCCTTGCGTTCCAAGATGTTTTCTCCGCCTTTCCAGTCCGCTCGCTGTCGGTACCTCCTCCTCTCGGGAGGTCCAAGGGATGTGTTCCAGAGCTCGGACTGATTTTCGTAGTAGTGCCGTTCGACAGTCTGGATTCTCGCGATGCTGGGAGTGTCGGTCCTTCTCCGATCTGGTCCTATTTGGCTGAGATAAAGCCTTCCGAAGATTTGGATTTGTTAAATATTAAAATACTGTTTTTTCTTTTACGCTATATCTCAGCTGCACATCAACCGATCTGGGCGTGGCATGTCTCTCCGTGATCGGGAAAGTCCTGCCAACCGACTGCCGCTGGAAAAAAGGACATCAATTTTCCCCCGATTTTCGCAAAAAATCATGATGGTTACATCATTAAATTTGTCAAAAATCGGCCTCGTTTTCGTTGTGGAGATTTTGATGCCGTTCGACAGTCTGGATTCTCGCGATGCTGGGAGTGTCGGTCCTTCTCCGATCTGGTCCTATTTGGCTGAGATAAAGCCTTCCGAAGATTTGGATTTGTTAAATATTAAAATACTGTTTTTTCTTTTACGCTATATCTCAGCTGCACATCAACCGATCTGGGCGTGGCATGTCTCTCCGTGATCGGGAAAGTCCTGCCAACCGACTGCCGCTGGAAAAAAGGACATCAATTTTCCCCCGATTTTCGCAAAAAATCATGATGGTTACATCATTAAATTTGTCAAAAATCGGCCTCGTTTTCGTTGTGGAGATTTTGATGCCGTTCGACAGTCTGGATTCTCGCGATGCTGGGAGTGTCGGTCCTTCTCCGATCTGGTCCTATTTGGCTGAGATAAAGCCTTCCGAAGATTTGGATTTGTTAAATATTAAAATACTGTTTTTTCTTTTACGCTATATCTCAGCTGCACATCAATCGATCTGGGCGTGGCATGTCTCTCCGTGATCGGGAAAGTCCTGCCAACCGACTGCCGCTGGAAAAAAGGACATCAATTTTTCCCCGATTTTCGCAAAAAATCATGATGGTTACATCATTAAATTTGTCAAAAATCGGCCTCGTTTTCGTTGTGGAGATTTTGATGCCGTTCGACAGTCTGGATTCTCGCGATGCTGGGAGTGTCGGTCCTTCTCCGATCTGGTCCTATTTGCCTGAGATATAGCCTTCCGAAGATTTGGATTTGTTAAATATTAAAATACTGTTTTTTCTTTTACGCTATATCTCAGCTGCACATCAATCGATCTGGGCGTGGCATGTCTCTCCGTGATCGGGAAAGTCCTGCCAACCGACTGCCGCTGGAAAAAAGGACATCAATTTTCCCCCGATTTTCGCAAAAAATCATGATGGTTACATCATTAAATTTGTCAAAAATCGGCCTCGTTTTCGTTGTGGAGATTTTGATGCCGTTCGACAGTCTGGATTCTCGCGATGCTGGGAGTGTCGGTCCTTCTCCGATCTGGTCCTATTTGGCTGAGATAAAGCCTTCCGAAGATTTGGATTTGTTAAATATTAAAATACTGTTTTTTCTTTTACGCTATATCTCAGCTGCACATCAACCGATCTGGGCGTGGCATGTCTCTCCGTGATCGGGAAAGTCCTGCCAACCGACTGCCGCTGGAAAAAAGGACATCAATTTTCCCCCGATTTTCGCAAAAAATCATGATGGTTACATCATTAAATTTGTCAAAAATCGGCCTCGTTTTCGTTGTGGAGATTTTGATGCCGTTCGACAGTCTGGATTCTCGCGATGCTGGGAGTGTCGGTCCTTCTCCGATCTGGTCCTATTTGGCTGAGATATAGCCCTCCGAAGATTTGGATTTGTTAAATATTATAATACTGTTTTTTCTTTTACGCTATATCTCAGCTGCACATCAATCGATCTGGGCGTGACATGTCCCTCCGTGATCGGGAGAGTCCTGCCAACCGACTGCCATTGGGAAAAAGGACATCTTTTTTTCCACAATTTTCACAAAACCATGATTCTACTGCTGTGTCGCTGAGTCGACAAGGTGCCGTCTCATCCGCTGAAACACGGACCAGACATCGACGGCGGAGTTGTTGGTTCACGCCCACGGGAAATAATGCCACCAATCAAACGCTGGGCTATAGCTTTGAGACGCGTAAGTAAATCAGTATATATGTAATTCTGAATATGTTTTAAAATACATCTTCCTTCACAGAGGACTTATGTACCCTACGCTTTGCCACAAACCGAGGCGTATCCGATTTCCTCCCGCCAGACGGAGTCCTATCAAAGTATCCCAGCCAGACAGAATCGTGTCCTAGCAGGATCGAGGCGCACCAATTACAAGATCGAACATAAGAAGCCATCGTCATCACTCGCCCTGGCCATCAACAACAAGGACTTTGACTGTGACAACCACCGGAAGAGCTAAGCGGGCTACCACCATCTAGATATATCTCGTTGTTTTTAGGTTTAAGGATATATGTACGCCTCCATATATTTAGATAGTAGACACAAATGTTTTCCACCTGTTTATTTATTTAAACTAAGCTAAGTTATGATGAATAAAACTATTGAAAAATCATCCTTGCTGTTTTTTGTATGGAGGAAACTATCCCGATTTCAAAAAGGCGTGGCACGACCAGATCGGTACAAAATTAGCGGAGAAAACTCAATATTTTTGATTGGGGAAAATGTCCTTGATCCTTGATAAGGACTCCATCAATAAGGGACATTTTTCGATCGCAGGAAGCCATCGCACGCTCAGATCGGCCCACAAACAGCCGAGAAAACTATGTATGTATGGTTGGGGTTAATGGAGTCCTTACCAAAGGATCGAGGACATTTTTCTGATCACGGGGGACCGTCGCACGTCCCGATCGGGCCTCAAATAACGGAGTAAACAAGATATGTATGTCTAGAGTAAATATCCTTGATCCTTGGTCCTTGATAAGGACTCCATTAAATCAGGGACATTTTTCCAAACTCAGGAAGCTGCCGCACGCCCAGATCGGACCACAAATAGCCGAGAAAACTATGTATGTATGATTGGGGTTGTTGGAGTCCTTACCGAAGGATCAAGGACATTTTTCTGATTACGGGGGGCCGTCGCACGTCCCGATCGAGCCTCAAATAACGGAGTAAACAAGATATGTATGTCTGGAGTAAATATCCTTGATCCTTGGTCCTTGATAAGGACTCCATTAAATCAGGGACATTTTTCCGAACTCAGGAAGATGTCGCATGTCCCGATCAGGCCTCAGATAACGGAGTAAACAAGATATGTATGTCTAGAGTAAATATCCTTGATCCTTGGTCCTTGATAAGGACTCCATTAAATCAGGGACATTTTTCCAAACTCAGGAAGCTGCCGCACGCCCAGATCGGCCCACAAATAGCCGAGAAAACTATGTATGTATGATTGGGGTTGTTGGAGTCCTTACCAAAGGATCGAGGACATTTTTCTGATCACGGGGGACCGTCGCACGTCCCGATCGGGCCTCAAATAACGGAGTAAACAAGATATGTATGTCTAGAGTAAATATCCTTGATCCTTGGTCCTTGATAAGGACTCCATTAAATCAGGGACATTTTTCCAAACTCAGGAAGCTGCCGCACGCCCAGATCGGCCCACAAATAGCCGAGAAAACTATGTATGTATGATTGGGGTTGTTGGAGTCCTTACCGAAGGATCAAGGACATTTTTCTGATTACGGGGGGCCGTCGCACGTCCCGATCGGGCCTCAAATAACGGAGTAAACAAGATATGTATGTCTGGAGTAAATATCCTTGATCCTTGGTCCTTGATAAGGACTCCATTAAATCAGGGACATTTTTCCAAACTCAGGAAGCTGCCGCACGCCCAGATCGGCCCACAAATAGCCGAGAAAACTATGTATGTATGATTGGGGTTGTTGGAGTCCTTACCGAAGGATCAAGGACATTTTTCTGATTACGGGGGGCCGTCGCACGTCCCGATCGAGCCTCAAATAACGGAGTAAACAAGATATGTATGTCTGGAGTAAATATCCTTGATCCTTGGTCCTTGATAAGGACTCCATTAAATCAGGGACATTTTTCCGAACTCAGGAAGATGTCGCATGTCCCGATCGGGCCTCAAATAACGGAGAAACAAATCTGGTTTGTAATTTGGTATTTTTGAAAATGTAGTTCAAGAATTCGCCGATAGCGGCGCCACCGTACAAAAGAGAAAAACTCGCGTCAAATGGCCAAAATCTGGATGGGATACCAGGCGAACAGAAATCAGCAGCAAGCAACTGTAGGAATTGAAAAAAATGGTGCATACTTTTGGGGGACCATTAATTTTTAAAAAATTCAGTTACCTTCTGCTGATTTCTGTTCGCCTGGTATCCCATCCAGATTTTGGCCATGTGACGCGAGTTTTTCTCTTTTGTACGGTGGCGCCGCTATCGGCGAATTCTTGAACTACATTTTTAAATATAACAAATTACAAACCAGATTTGTTTCTCCGTTATTTGAGGCCCGATCGGGACATGCGACGGCTTCCTGAGTTTGGAAAAATGTCCCTGATTTAATGGAGTCCTTATCAAGGACCAAGGATCAAGGATATTTACTCCAGACATACATATCTTGTTTACTCCGTTATTTGAGGCCCGATCGGGACGTGCGACGGCCCCCCGTAATCAGAAAAATGTCCTTGATCCTTCGGTAAGGACTCCAACAACCCCAATCATACATACATAGTTTTCTCGGCTATTTGTGGGCCGATCTGGGCGTGCGGCAGCTTCCTGAGTTTGGAAAAATGTCCCTAATTGATGGAGTCCTTATCAAGGATCAAGGACATTTTCCCCAATCAAAAATATTGAGTTTTCTCCGCTAATTTTGTACCGATCTGGTCGTGCCACGCCTTTTTGAAATTGGGATAGTTTCCTCCATACAAAAAACAGCAAGGATGATTTTTCAATAGTTTTATTCATCATAACTTAGCTTAGTTTAAATAAATAAACAGGTGGAAAACATTTGTGTCTACTATCTAAATATATGGAGGCGTACATATATCCTTAAACCTAAAAACAACGAGATATATCTAGATGGTGGTAGCCCGCTTAGCTCTTCCGGTGGTTGTCACAGTCAAAGTCCTTGTTGTTGATGGCCAGGGCGACTGATGACGATGGCTTCTTATGTTCGATCTTGTAATTGGTGCGCCTCGATCCTGCTAGGACACGATTCTGTCTGGCTGGGATACTTTGATTGGACTCCGTCTGGCGGGGGGAAATCGGATACGCCTCGGTTTGTGGCAAAGCGTAGGGTACATAAGTCCTCTGTGAAGGAAGATGTATTTTAAAACATATTCAGAATTACATATATACTGATTTACTTACGCGTCTCAAAGCTATAGCCCAGCGTTTGATTGGTGGCATTATTTCCCGTGGGCGTGAACCAACAACTCCGCCGTCGATGTCTGGTCCGTGTTTCAGCGGATGAGACGGCACCTTGTCGACTCAGCGACACAGCAGTAGAATCATGATTTTTTGCGAAAATCGGGGAAAAATTGATGTCCTTTTTTCCAGCGGCAGTCGGTTGGCAGGACTTTCCCGATCACGGAGAGACATGCCACGCCCAGATCGATTGATGTGCAGCTGAAATATAGCGTAAAGAAAACAAACAATATTTTAATATTTAACAAATCCAAATTTTCGGAAGGCTATATCTCAGCCAAATAGGACCAGATCGGAGAAGGACCGACACTCCCAGCATCGCGAGAATCCAGACTGTCGAACGGCATCAAAATCTCCACAACGAAAACGAGGCCGATTTTTGACAAATTTAATGATGTAAATCATGATTTTTTGCGAAAATCGGGGGAAAATTGATGTCCTTTTTTCCGGCGGCAGTCGGTTGGCAGGACTCTCCCGATCACGGAGGGACATGTCACGCCCAGATCGATTGATGTGCAGCTGAGATATAGCGTAAAAGAAAAAACAGTATTTTAATATATAACAAATCCAAATCTTCGGAAGGCTATATCTCAGCCAAATAGGACCAGATCGGAGAAGGACCGACACTCCCAGCATCGCGAGAATCCAGACTGTCGAACGGCATCAAAATCTCCACAACGAAAACGAGGCCGATTTTTGACAAATTTAATGATGTAACCATCATGATTTTTTGCGAGAATCGGGGAAAAATTGATGTCATTTTTTCCAGCGGCAGTCGGTTGGCAGGACTTTCCCGATCACGGAGAGACATGCCACGCCCAGATCGATTGATGTGCAGCTGAAATATAGCGTAAAGAAAACAAACAATATTTTAATATTTAACAAATCCAAATCTTCGGAAGGCTATATCTCAGCCAAATAGGACCAGATCGGAGAAGGACCGACACTCCCAGCATCGCGAGAATCCAGACTGTCGAACGGCATCAAAATCTCCACAACGAAAACGAGGCCGATTTTTGACAAATTTAATGATGTAACCATCATGATTTTTTGCGAAAATCGGGGAAAAATTGATGTCCTTTTTTCCAGCGGCAGTCGGTTGGCAGGACTTTCCCGATCACGGAGAGACATGCCACGCCCAGATCGGTTGATGTGCAGCTGAAATATAGCGTAAAGAAATCAAACAATATTTTAATATTTAACAAATCCAAATCTTCGGAAGGCTATATCTCAGCCAAATAGGACCAGATCGGAGAAGGACCGACACTCCCAGCATCGCGAGAATCCAGACTGTCGAACGGCATCAAAATCTCCACAACGAAAACGAGGCCGATTTTTGACAAATTTAATGATGTAACCATCATGATTTTTTGCGAAAATCGGGGAAAAATTGATGTCCTTTTTTCCAGCGGCAGTCGGTTGGCAGGACTTTCCCGATCACGGAGAGACATGCCACGCCCAGATCGGTTGAAGTGCAGCTGAAATATAGCGTAAAGAAATCAAATAATATTTTAATATTTAACAAATCCAAATCTTCCGAAGGCTTTATCTCAGCCAAATAGGACCAGATCGGAGAAGGACCGACACTCCCAGCATCGCGAGAATCCAGACTGTCGAACGGCATCAAAATCTCCACAACGAAAACGAGGCCGATTTTTGACAAATTTAATGATGTAACCATCATGATTTTTTGCGAAAATCGGGGAAAAATTGATGTCCTTTTTTCCAGCGGCAGTCGGTTGGCAGGACTTTCCCGATCACGGAGAGACATGCCACGCCCAGATCGGTTGATGTGCAGCTGAAATATAGCGTAAAGAAAACAAACAATATTTTAATATTTAACAAATCCAAATCTTCGGAAGGCTATATCTCAGCCAAATAGGACCAGATCGGAGAAGGACCGACACTCCCAGCATCGCGAGAATCCAGACTGTCGAACGGCATCAAAATCTCCACAACGAAAACGATGCCGATTTTTGACAAATTTAATGATGTAACCATCATGATTTTTTGCGAAAATCGGGGAAAAATTGATGTCCTTTTTTCCGGCGGCAGTCGGTTGGCAGGACTTTCCCGATCACGGAGAGACATGCCACGCCCAGATCGGTTGATGTGCAGCTGAAATATAGCGTAAAGAAAACAAACAATATTTTAATATTTAACAAATCCAAATCTTCGGAAGGCTATATCTCAGCCAAATAGGACCAGATCGGAGAAGGACCGACACTCCCAGCATCGCGAGAATCCAGACTGTCGAACGGCATCAAAATCTCCACAACGAAAACGAGGCCGATTTTTGACAAATTTAATGATGTAAATCATGATTTTTTGCGAAAATCGGGGGAAAATTGATGTCCTTTTTTCCGGCGGCAGTCGGTTGGCAGGACTTTCCCGATCACGGAGAGACATGCCACGCCCAGATCGGTTGATGTGCAGCTGAAATATAGCGTAAAGAAAACAAACAATATTTTAATATTTAACAAATCCAAATCTTCGGAAGGCTATATCTCAGCCAAATAGGACCAGATCGGAGAAGGACCGACACTCCCAGCATCGCGAGAATCCAGACTGTCGAACGGCATCAAAATCTCCACAACAAAAACGAGGCCGATTTTTGACAAATTTAATGATGTAACCATCATGATTTTTTGCGAAAATCGGGGAAAAATTGATGTCCTTTTTTCCAGCGGCAGTCGGTTGGCAGGACTTTCCCGATCACGGAGAGACATGCCACGCCCAGATCGGTTGATGTGCAGCTGAAATATAGCGTAAAGAAAACAAACAATATTTTAATATTTAACAAATCCAAATCTTCGGAAGGCTATATCTCAGCCAAATAGGACCAGATCGGAGAAGGACCGACACTCCCAGCATCGCGAGAATCCAGACTGTCGAACGGCATCAAAATCTCCACAACGAAAACGAGGCCGATTTTTGACAAATTTAATGATGTAAATCATGATTTTTTGCGAAAATCGGGGGAAAATTGATGTCCTTTTTTCCGGCGGCAGTCGGTTGGCAGGACTTTCCCGATCACGGAGAGACATGCCACGCCCAGATCGGTTGATGTGCAGCTGAAATATAGCGTAAAGAAAACAAACAATATTTTAATATTTAACAAATCCAAATCTTCGGAAGGCTATATCTCAGCCAAATAGGACCAGATCGGAGAAGGACCGACACTCCCAGCATCGCGAGAATCCAGACTGTCGAACGGCATCAAAATCTCCACAACGAAAACGAGGCCGATTTTTGACAAATTTAATGATGTAACCATCATGATTTTTTGCGAAAATCGGGGAAAAATTGATGTCCTTTTTTCCGGCGGCAGTCGGTTGGCAGGACTTTCCCGATCACGGAGAGACATGCCACGCCCAGATCGGTTGATGTGCAGCTGAAATATAGCGTAAAGAAAACAAACAATATTTTAATATTTAACAAATCCAAATCTTCGGAAGGCTATATCTCAGCCAAATAGGACCAGATCGGAGAAGGACCGACACTCCCAGCATCGCGAGAATCCAGACTGTCGAACGGCATCAAAATCTCCACAACGAAAACGAGGCCGATTTTTGACAAATTTAATGATGTAACCATCATGATTTTTTGCGAAAATCGGGGAAAAATTGATGTCCTTTTTTCCGGCGGCAGTCGGTTGGCAGGACTTTCCCGATCACGGAGAGACATGCCACGCCCAGATCGGTTGATGTGCAGCTGAAATATAGCGTAAAGAAAACAAACAATATTTTAATATTTAACAAATCCAAATCTTCGGAAGGCTATATCTCAGCCAAATAGGACCAGATCGGAGAAGGACCGACACTCCCAGCATCGCGAGAATCCAGACTGTCGAACGGCATCAAAATCTCCACAACGAAAACGAGACCGATTTTTGACAAATTTAATGATGTAAATCATGATTTTTTGCGAAAATCGGGGAAAAATTGATGTCCTTTTTTCCAGCGGCAGTCGGTTGGCAGGACTTTCCCGATCACGGAGAGACATGCCACGCCCAGATCGGTTGATGTGCAGCTGAAATATAGCGTAAAGAAATCAAACAATATTTTAATATTTAACAAATCCAAATCTTCGGAAGGCTATATCTCAGCCAAATAGGACCAGATCGGAGAAGGACCGACACTCCCAGCATCGCGAGAATCCAGACTGTCGAACGGCATCAAAATCTCCACAACAAAAACGAGGCCGATTTTTGACAAATTTAATGATGTAACCATCATGATTTTTTGCGAAAATCGGGGAAAAATTGATGTCCTTTTTTCCAGCGGCAGTCGGTTGGCAGGACTTTCCCGATCACGGAGAGACATGCCACGCCCAGATCGGTTGATGTGCAGCTGAAATATAGCGTAAAGAAAACAAACAATATTTTAATATTTAACAAATCCAAATCTTCGGAAGGCTATATCTCAGCCAAATAGGACCAGATCGGAGAAGGACCGACACTCCCAGCATCGCGAGAATCCAGACTGTCGAACGGCATCAAAATCTCCACAACGAAAACGATGCCGATTTTTGACAAATTTAATGATAACCATCATGATTTTTTGCGAAAATCGGGGAAAAATTGATGTCCTTTTTTCCGGCGGCAGTCGGTTGGCAGGACTTTCCCGATCACGGAGAGACATGCCACGCCCAGATCGGTTGATGTGCAGCTGAAATATAGCGTAAAGAAAACAAACAATATTTTAATATTTAACAAATCCAAATCTTCGGAAGGCTATATCTCAGCCAAATAGGACCAGATCGGAGAAGGACCGACACTCCCAGCATCGCGAGAATCCAGACTGTCGAACGGCATCAAAATCTCCACAACGAAAACGAGGCCGATTTTTGACAAATTTAATGATGTAACCATCATGATTTTTTGCGAAAATCGGGGAAAAATTGATGTCCTTTTTTCCGGCGGCAGTCGGTTGGCAGGACTTTCCCGATCACGGAGAGACATGCCACGCCCAGATCGGTTGATGTGCAGCTGAAATATAGCGTAAAGAAAACAAACAATATTTTAATATTTAACAAATCCAAATCTTCGGAAGGCTATATCTCAGCCAAATAGGACCAGATCGGAGAAGGACCGACACTCCCAGCATCGCGAGAATCCAGACTGTCGAACGGCATCAAAATCTCCACAACGAAAACGAGACCGATTTTTGACAAATTTAATGATGTAACCATCATGATTTTTTGCGAAAATCGGGGAAAAATTGATGTCCTTTTTTCCAGCGGCAGTCGGTTGGCAGGACTTTCCCGATCACGGAGAGACATGCCACGCCCAGATCGGTTGATGTGCAGCTGAAATATAGCGTAAAGAAATCAAACAATATTTTAATATTTAACAAATCCAAATCTTCGGAAGGCTATATCTCAGCCAAATAGGACCAGATCGGAGAAGGACCGACACTCCCAGCATCGCGAGAATCCAGACTGTCGAACGGCATCAAAATCTCCACAACGAAAACGAGGCCGATTTTTGACAAATTTAATGATGTAACCATCATGATTTTTTGCGAAAATCGGGGAAAAATTGATGTCCTTTTTTCCGGCGGCAGTCGGTTGGCAGGACTTTCCCGATCACGGAGAGACATGCCACGCCCAGATCGGTTGATGTGCAGCTGAAATATAGCGTAAAGAAAACAAACAATATTTTAATATTTAACAAATCCAAATCTTCGGAAGGCTATATCTCAGCCAAATAGGACCAGATCGGAGAAGGACCGACACTCCCAGCATCGCGAGAATCCAGACTGTCGAACGGCATCAAAATCTCCACAACGAAAACGAGGCCGATTTTTGACAAATTTAATGATGTAACCATCATGATTTTTTGCGAAAATCGGGGAAAAATTGATGTCCTTTTTTCCGGCGGCAGTCGGTTGGCAGGACTTTCCCGATCACGGAGAGACATGCCACGCCCAGATCGGTTGATGTGCAGCTGAAATATAGCGTAAAGAAAACAAACAATATTTTAATATTTAACAAATCCAAATCTTCGGAAGGCTATATCTCAGCCAAATAGGACCAGATCGGAGAAGGACCGACACTCCCAGCATCGCGAGAATCCAGACTGTCGAACGGCACTACTACGAAAATCAGTCCGAGCTCTGGAACACATCCCTTGGACCTCCCGAGAGAAGGAGGTACCGACAGCGAGCGGACTGGAAAGGCGGAGAAAACATCTTGGAACGCAAGGATGAGGGCTCTGGCAGTGGCCGGACAAAAAAGTAGACCAGACTAAAGATCACAGTGTCGCGCGACAGGAATCATGTCCCAAGGGGCGCTTTGTATCGTGGCCCAGTGCGCAGGGGACGGCTGGGAGCTCGTGATGTCAGCCGGTCGCCTGGGGTGGACAGCCGTCGTCGAGCGCACACTCCTTCGTATTAATCGGAACACCAGAAGAGGGAAGGAGACCTGCTAAAATAAAAGAAAGTGTTAAATAAAGTAAAAGAATAAATAATAACTTAATAAATTTACCTAGGGGGTATGAAGAGGCGATCGCGGCATAGCAGCTTGGGGCCAGAAAGGGTGTAGGCCAATTGAACTGGAGGGAATATAAGAATAAAAGAACCAAGAAAAAAAGTCTATGCAAATGATGAGTAGGGGGGAAACAAGGAATGCGTTTGAATTTATTTTGGCACCGCAACGCTTCGAGCGTGAAAACTAAAAACTATTTGTTACATACATATATCAATATCAATATGAATATGAATGCGAATACGAGTATACCCATATGAGGTGGTACACACTCGACAAATAAAAAAAAAAAAAATCGATCTATGAAACGAATATTTGCCCATTCGAAAGGGAAATGAAAACTTAGTTCTGCACTTGCAACATGTGCAACATTCAGCAAGTGATTTGTGAGACAACTTAACCAAAAACTAAATCTATAACACTATAAGACTTGAGCTCAGTCAAAAGCAAACGAAGATTGAATATCGACTCCATCATCCGTAAGCATGTGGCATCAAATCTCGCGGTCTCTCTCCCCCTGTCTCCCTCGTTCCAAGAGCGACGAGCCACGATCTACCCTTCTCGATTCAGTTGCGGTTGTAGAATATTGTTTTTTAGCGTTTTCAGCTGCTTCCCATGCTGCCAACGCCTCCTCCAGCTGCTGTTCCTCCTCCTGCTGCTCCAATGGATCCAGACGCTCCTCCTCCTAGGCGCGCCCATGCTCAGGGCTTTTTTTTGTCTGGACGCCCCTAGCTGGTTCTTCAGCAGCAGCAGTGGCCGCGGCCGCAAACGGAGAGCCGCCTCCGGTGGGCGTCTGGGGTCCCTTGTTATTGTTGTGGTCGCCGGGGGTGCACGGACTGTTGACTATGCCCACGACCACACCCATGTTGGCCTCGCCTGGTCCTCCGTCGGGCAGTCCGCCGGCGGCATCCGGGACCCCAGCGGCAATCGTGGCGAAGAGCAGCCACTCCTCGTAGTCGTACTCGCAGAGAATCTTGTTCTTGCACAAATAGAACCGATCGCCAACGCACAATCGATGGTTGCACTGCTGGCAGGCGAAGCAATCAAAATGGTAGACATTGGTGTGGGCGCGCATCACCATCTCAAAGGCGGAGATCACCTTGCTGCAGGCGGCACAGTAGCCCGTGTTGCCAAATAATCGAAAATAATCAAGCTTGCACAGGATTAGGTTGCCCGTCTTGTAGAGGGTGGACCCCACTTCGCCCAGGCGACAGTCGCAGCAGCCGCACTTGAGGCAGTCCTGGTGCCACAGCATGTCCAGGGCGCGCAGAAAGTAACGGTCCTTGATGTGCTTGCCGCAGCCGGCGCACAGCAGGCTTCCATTGTTGTTGTTGTTATTGTTGTTGGCCGCAGCGGCAATGCTCTGGACATTGCTGAGGCTGTTGTTGTTGCCGCTGTTCACCCCGCCGCCGTTGCTGTTGCAACCGTTGTTGGTATTCTGCCCCACGTTGTTGCCACTGTTGCTGTTCATGCTGGCGGCCTGCTGCTGCTGTCTTGAGTGCTGCTGCTGTTGATTCGATGAGAGCCCGACGAGTCCGGGCTCTGTTTTGGTGATATCCATAGTCATCTTATTATTCACGGACGCTATACCATTCCAATAGATTTCCATTTGCGCCATCCGCGAACGCGATGGCTGCGGGGAGTCGACATCGGGCCCCACTGCCGTCACCACAGACGGCGGCACCACAGGCGACACAGGAAAGAAATGCTGCAGCGGCAATGGCAGGTGTGTGGCGGCAATGCTGCTGCGCTTTTCGAAATTCGGCACCAAGAACTGATCTGATGATGAACTGATGTTCTGCATAGTAATGCGCCCCGCATCGCCTATGCTGGGCGATGCAGCTGAAGGTTCGATAAAATTGTTCATTTTCAATGACTTTCACACAGTTTTTGCTGATCTGCAATGCAAATTGAAATTTGGGAAATCCGAAGCGAAGCACGCACGCTTTTTGCAGAGTAACGGCGCCCGTCAGCTGTGCTGCCGAGCAGTGCTGCCAGATTCTCAGAGTACAAGCTAGATTGTATACGGTAGGGCCAACGATACGCCAAAAATGGCTAAAACTGAAGATAAATGAGCTCAAAATTATGTTGAGCTACTGAGCTTCTTCGGCAGCGTATGTTGCGATCAATTGAAAGATATTGAAAAGACGACGATTGTTCGCATTGAAAATCTGTTCTAAGACGATAGACGAGATTCAAGTGATTGCTGGATCGAATCAAGGTCAGGCCGGCCGAATGGCCCGTGCCCTAATGCAAGCGAGGCTTCGACAAGAGCGCGACAGATTGAGAAAGCGACAGGACTTACTCGGTCAAAGCCGACGAGGTAATGCATGGTGCATGGTGCAGGAGGGAAGGCAATGTCGGTAATGTATATATACATATTTTATATTATTTTGTAACTCATACCGTTAGAGCTGTGATAGGAAAAGCAGGATAGAAATATCTCAGAGAGGTGAACCTCTTGTAAACCTTTTTGTTCGTACATTACATAGAATTTAAAAGCGCGCCAATAAATATGAAAAACAAAAATCCGAGTGTCCAGCCCTTCATGGAAAAGAACCGCGTAAAGCGATTGGCGGAGATGTTGGTACTAATAGTGCGCGATAGGTGTCGTCCGAAAAGCGCCATCTATTGGAATCAAAATGTACTTCTTTATTTTTAACGGAAATTTAAAAATCTAACGTGAATATTTTTTATAAATAATAGCTTCAAAAGGCTATTTACGAATTATGTGACTCACACATTTAAGTATTCTCTAAATAATTCACAAATCCACGGCTAAATGTGATTAAAATGCCAAAGAGAATCGCATATACAAGATAATTTTCTCCTTGAGACCACATCGGAGTGAATCTATCAGAATTATGGACTGAGCATACGTCGGAAACACGCCAGAAGTGTCTGTTAATCAAACATGCGGCCAACACGCCCTCCGACTGCCCGGAAAATGCAACGAAAATGACATTAATGGGCTCTTTACGGCTTACGCATAATTAAAGCCGTTGCCTGCTTGGCTCTGGGTCTGGTCCTGAGTCTGGGCCTCTGTTCTGGTCGAATCTTGTCTTAAGCGGGCCTAATTAGGCATCGCATGGCTGTTGCGTTGCTGTTGTCTGTGAGATGAAGTGCATGATTGGTTTATGAGTTAAGGCGATGATGGTGTGCGTCCCCATCCTTCCCCTCCGCATAAGTACACAAAGGCAAAACGTGCAATACTTTATGCCCGATCTTATGGCCGAAGCAGATATAAAGCTGTTGCTCCATTCATTCAACTCGTGCATCTACTCTTTAGATGAAATTATTCAGATTTTCTTACATGCTCTGTCATTTGCAGATGTAATGCATCTAAGTACTTGATTGGTCGTCCCTCATTAAAGATCACAGTGTGCATCGTGGTCCAGTGCGCAGGAGCCGGCTGGGAGTTCGTGATGTCAGCCGGTCGCATGGGGTGGACAGCCGTCGTCGAGCGCACACTCCTTCGTATTAATCGGAACACCAGAAGCGGGAAGCCCTTGGAGACCTGCTAAAATAAAAGAAAGTGTTAAATAAAGTAATAGAATAAATAATAACTTAATAAATTTACGTAGGGGGTATGAAGAGGCGATCGCGGCATAGCAGCTTGGGGCCAGAAAGGGTGTCGGCCAATTGAACTGGAGGGAATATAAAAATAAAAGAGCCAAGAAATAAGAGTCAATGCAATGGTATAAGCCGGTGCAAGGAAATACATTGTTGCGAGTGCCCCCCACTCCGAGCTGGCCACGACTAACCCACCAGAACTACATGTATGTAGTCGTAACCAGAGTATGGGGTATAAATGCAGAGTCGCGGTCGTAGCAGTGACAAACAACATTTCCTCTCGTTCTGTTATTCATCATGTCAAGTGGTTTTTATTGTTATTGTTAATTAAATTCTGATTAAATATAGTAAATTATTTATTGAAGATGCGAAGCTGTAAATGCTTTGCCCGTACTGGTATGAAGTCTTTTTATGTTGCCACACCTCGTGGCACGATGACATTCCGTCATCTGATGTATTGAAGCACTGGACGCCACAATGGCCTGAAAGGATGGATAAATTTCAGATTACTTAGGGATTCATAAATAAATAATCAGGCACCTACTTTTAAGAGTGTACTGCTGCTGTCTGATGTGTCACCCGATGTAGCAGCCACACACACGCACACACGCACTCTGTCTTGTTTTGTGTATCGGTGTATCTTCATATGATATTAAAGGTCCTTATCCTGTTCTGGCTGTCTCTCCTGGCGACTGGGCTCCACTTGTGCCGGCAACAATGTTGTCCTCGGCATGACCTCGAGCGAGGGGTCTTTAAAAATTCTGCGCGAGAGGTGCAGAAAAGGCAGCAGTGTGTTCATATTAGTTTTAACAGACATCTTTGTACAGCGGTGGATATTCGTTGGCAGAGGGCTAGGATTGCCCAATTCTTGATCCGCCTTGTTGCCACAAACGAATTTTAGGATGTCTGACGGGAGCATATTAGACATAGAGTAGTATTCGTCAAAGTTCTTGAATGGGTCCTTTAGGCTGAGGTCAAACATTACGATGGCGCATTGTACATTCTTGAAAAATGGATTCCGATACTGGACGTACTCGGCCTTCCCTCCCTCCCACATTTCGAAGCAGATTGGCCCGCGAGTTGTAGGAAATATGAGTTTGATCACCGTGATTCCAAATGTGGGCAAATACTTTTGCTCGAAATGACCCGTCAAGTGACGATGGATGAAGGTACTCTTTCCGCATCCCTCCTTGCCGACTATTACGCACTTGAACGTTGGAATTGGGCTGGGCCGACTAGACATTGTTACAAAATAGATTGAGACTTATTTGATTTTCCAGAATAAAGACACAACGACAGGCACAGTTTAAGTGTTGGACAACGAATTCAATGACATACTATCTAAAAATTTAGGATTTTTTTGGTATTTTCTTTATGCTCGCATTTCTGCGAGTTTCATGCTCAAAACTGTTAACTTGGCCATTACGTCAGCCGTAAGACGTTTACTTACGTTTGAAGGGAGATACACCTAAAGTGAAATATCACCATCCCATTCGTATTTGTTTTTATACCTGGTACTCGCAGAGTATAGAGGTATATTCGATTTGCGGTGGAAGTGGATGTGTGTAACACCCAGAAGGAATTGTTTCCGAACCCGCAAAATTAATAAACCGAAGAGACAGCGCAACCCCTGTCGGACCCTCTGTCGACTCTCAAGCGCACCCTCGCTCAATGTTGGGTTTTTATCATTGTAAATCAAGAAAGTAAACTTAAAAGATGTTTTTTATTTATTGGCATTGATTCTCTCGTTTCACCAAGAGCGTGATTTAAACACTCAAATCTTTGCCATTCTGTCAACTAAGGTGGAAGCGCGAAGTTGATTCCTAGATCCCTTACGATTTTTCAGTGTAATTCTAAGCTCCTCTTCGATCTTTTCGATTCTTTCGATCAGAATATCATGCTCCGCCCTTAGAACCTCGATCTCAGATCGCTTTTTGGCAAATAACTCCAGCGTCTGGTCATAATCCGTCATGAGCTGGGGATATAACATAATACCACCTTGGTAGCGTACATCATCGAGACACTTATATAGCTTGTTGTGCTTTGTGTTACACCGATAGGCCTTGAGCCGCAAGTCCTGGAAATTCTGCCTGAGGGACCCGAGTATGCACTGGGCCGCCGAAAGTTTCCGGCTCAATGCCTTTCGACGACACCTTAGATGGGACACTGAATGGAGCTTGCTATTGATGAGGCTGGACGATTTTACAATGCTTAAGTTTTTGGCTAAAAATTGTAAAAATTAGGAAATATTCTTGCATATCAAATGGATTACTCACACTCCAATGTCCTGCTCAAATTCTCAACCTGAGCTTCGACTGACAGATATCTGTGCATGGTGAGGTTTTCCGAAATGGTGTCCATTTCTTCCACTTTCTGAAAAGTATATTTTTATTGATCTTCCTTATACATAGGTACTGTCTGTTCAACGATATGTCTTACCGTTTTAATATGTGAATATGTGTGTTGCTTCAGGATCAAGTTCAGACGTGTCTCAGACAACTCATCGCGCATCTTCCTTAGCCTTCTGATTATATTTCTAGTTAACTGTGTAGGTACTCGTGAAAGGTATTAATAGATAAATCAGTTTTAAGATGTGTAGTTACAATTTTTAAATGATCTGAAACGTTTTGGCAATTAAGTATGGTACTATTTATAAGGTTCTCCAGCCGCTGAAACTGTTCATCGTCCTCAGTTCTCTTTGTGTTCTCCTCGATGACATTTCGCTCTACCTCGTTGCGGGCTATTTCAGTAGACTGTTTTTCACGCTTAAGCCAATAGTCCAGCTCATTTAATGCGGAAAGACAGCGAACCCGGTTGTTCTCTTTGGTAATTTCATTTGTATCCGGCTTTACTAGAGAGTACTTGCAACGGCGCACCAGGATATCGGTAATACGTTTTGATAAATTTTGGTTTATAATCTGTTCCAAATGATGCTTATTGGCTTCAGCCAGCAGTGTATCCATGAGCTTTTCTTTGTCTAGTACTCTGTGTGTTAGCCGTTCAGGCTTTGTGGTTACGTCAATGACTTTGCAAATGAGTTCGTCCAGAAAGTCGTAGACCATTGAGTTCAATTCACATGGGTTAACTTTGACGATGACCTCCGACTTCCCTTCCTCTAAATCAAAAACGAGACTAGTACGTTTGACTGGTCGTGGGACTTCAAAGATAGTCTTAAAAGACAAATCATCATCAAAAGAATCACTTTCTTCTATTTCTGAGCTGGAGATGACCGATAGACTAAGTCTACTCAACTTTTGTTGAGACGGCTGGGCCTCAGACAATCCCTCATGATCTGTCTCAGTATCTCCCTTGGCGAGATTCAGGTCTGTCGAGACGGCAGCCAACGGGTCTCTAAATTTTCCCGATGGGTCCTCTGCCTTGACCTCGTGAATTTCTTCTGAAAAATCAACCGTAGCTGTCTCATCCAGTTCATTCCAGTTGGGCAAGTCGCGGATCTGGTTAAGGATGTCCATATAACTCGTTATTTCCAAGTTTTTCTTATCACCCGTTTCGGAATTGGTATTGTCTGGTTCGCGTACTTCATCACCACCAGCATTTTCTGACCGAACAGAGATATTGTCATCTGGAGCTTTCCATTGAATATCGACTTCCGGCTTAGGTCGTTTTTTAAGAAGGTGTATACTGAAGGCATCGTTACGCTCCAATTTTTTGGCCTTTTTATGGATGGATTCTTGCGTTGCTTGGGGTCTTTTGTGGATCGATACTGTCGAACCTTTGGGCTTTTTATGGAGTGAAGTCTTTGGTCGGACCGCATGATGTTTTTTTTCAAAAGTAACGTTCGATTTGTTAGAAGTGTTAGAAATAACACTAGTTTTTGCATCCAGTATTGTTGGTGTAGAAAAGCCGCTTTTGGGGTTGGAGCTTAGTGATACTTTACTGCCGTCCTCATAGATGTGTTCGTCTTCACCGTAGATAACATTCTCAGACAATTTCACAAGAGATATTCCTTGGTCTGGAAATGGATTTGTGTCATCCTCAGGATCGTTTGCATGCAGCGGGCTTCTCTGCTTTTCATCTTCCGAATGTTTTTCAGATTTGATTTGGTTTTGAGTGCTACTATTTTTTTGAATAGATTCATGCGAGTATGCGTGAGTTTTTTGAATCTCTTCATGTGCTGAGGGACTCGGTGGGGTGTTTCTGGGACTGAAAACCGATTTGGAAGTTCCAGGTACAGTTTTCCCTGGACTTTTCTTCCTCAGCTGCACTTTATTGCCTTTTGCAATTGCATGGGATCGATTTGATGACTTGCCCAAAGTCTCACTTTTCGATTTTGATTTTTTTGATTTTGGCATTTCCAAAAGGGTAACAGATTAAAGGAAAGTGTGGTAAAAAATGCGTGCAGAAATTGCACAAAAAAAATAGTGTGAAATTACAAATGAACAAGTAACATGTAACTATAAAAGAATTGAATTAAGTAAGGCATACTGAAATCATGCTTGAAGTAAAACCCTTCCAAGCAAAATTGTTAGAAAAACATAGTTTTCTATAAATTTAGAGTGCTTGATGTGCTTAAAACAAGACTTCTTTTGCTCTAACGTGCATTCCTGACCTCTTTTGAATCTTTGCCCAAAAATCTGCCTTACATAATTTTCCATTGTCCCATTACTTATCGATAGATTCAAATATATTTTGTATCATTTTAGGCGAGGGGTCGGCCAGGTCCTATCTTATGTGCATCACGGCCGAACATCTTCCCCTATTAACTTAATCGAATCTGAAATATAATATACAAATCATAAAAATTCTACATGAACAATAGAGGGTGGTCTAAGTTCGCCCTCTTTCGGGAAAAAAGTAAACTTTTGTGAGCTTAAAGTCTGTTACCATATAGCTTTTTGGCTCTGTTAATTTAGCATAATAGCTTTTCGGCTGTTAACTGTGCAGAAATAGCTTTCTCAAGTAAGGTGTTCAGTATTTGTAGCTTTAAAAATAGATTTTTTTGTTTCGTCTTAAATTTAAATACATATTTCACCACTTCCTCCTCGGCTTACTCTCCCCGCTGTTGGTTTCTTTTATTCAACTTGTATTTGTCTTATGATTTTGGATGGCACTTCGATCTGGCACTTCCGACTTCTAGACCCAGCTGCCTCTGCTCACTCGGGGCTCTCTGTGCTCTGCTACGGAGAATACAAGTCTCCATTGAACAGATGATGGCTTTAATTCGATCAATTGACGATGCATTTATTGGTGGTTTACTTGAGGTCTAACAGAACTACGCGTACGAGTATATATCAAAAATTCGATTTGTTTACAAAATATATAAAGAGAACCGACTGATAGGAGTAAGACACATATATGATAAGGCACATCTCGTGTCCGATAGACTGGCAATAAATTAGTGAAAGCTTTTCGGTTTGCCAATGACACATAATCCTGGGGGACTCTCCTGAGGCTCTTAGTGGAGACAGTAGGCCACCAGGAGGGTCATCAGCGTCGAGATGAGACTGAAGTGGGTGAAGGACTTGTCTGCCACATTGTGGGCATCCTTCAGTCCCGACTCGGCGGAAAGACGAGCAGATGTAAGGCCCGGCATCTTCATGATATCCGGCTGTCCGCCCGGCGTAAGCGGAGCCAATGGCACGGATCCTTCGGGCACAGTGAAGGGTGTCGTCGGCTGGAATGGTGCAAGATGCGCGGCGTCCGGCGATTGGGTAACTCCGGCTGCCACATTGGAAACGGAAGCCGGGGCAGGGACAGCGCCTTCGACAGCAGGAGCTGTTCCGTTAGCGGGAGCTGCTTCTGGTGGAGGTGCTGGATAGCAGGCGATCTTCTCTACTTCAATGGTCTTCGTGGCGTCATTTGGATCTGGTTCGGGTACCTTCACAGGCACACAGATTATTCCTCCAGCAGCTGGTGGAGCATTGGGGTCAGCGGGAGTCGCAGGTACATTTGGATCAGCAGGAGCTGCCGGTGGTGCGCCAGGTGCGGGTGCTGGAGCATTCGTCTCAGCTGGTGCTGCTCCGGGCACTGCTGGTGTTTGGGGAAGTGCGGCCAAAGGAGCTATCGGAGCAAGAGGCGCTAGTGGAGCGCCTCCCGGTACCTGCGGTGCAGGAGCCGCAGGAGCCGCAGCAGCCATTGGCTGCGCGGGATAGCCAGCTGGTTGCTGCACGCCTCCCGCGTTGATAACCGTCGTGCCCGATCCCACCTCGCTAGTGGTCACGGATCCCGGGGGTCCATTGTTGATAATGATGATCTTGTCCTCGCCCCCGCCGCCGCCGCCTCCACCGCCACCACCAGAGTATGATGGGGCATGCTCCACGACTCTCGTTTGAGTGGGTGTCAAGGCGTGACCCAGAATGGCTCCTCCCAGAGCGCCAGCAATAAGACCAGTGCCTGTAAGGAAATAAAGTGTTGTCTTAGTGGGTAAATCCTCCATTGAGAACGTAATCTGTAAGCTCACCCAATCCAAAACCGGATCCAGACTTTTGTGGCGCCTGAGGATAGTAGGTGGCACCTGCGGGAAGGGCTCCTCCTGCTGGCAGGAAGGTGGCACCCGGCGGCAGACCTCCGCCCATAGGTGCCTGCGGATAGTAGGTGGCTCCCTGGGGAATCTGTCCCGGACTGTGGTACGTGGCTCCTGCGGGATGATAGCTGGCACCTGCAGGATACTGTCCTGCCGGGTGATAGCTGGCTCCCGCTGGCACTTGTCCTGTTGGATAATAGGTCGCTCCGTGGGGAACCTGTCCAGCCGGGTGATACGATGCTCCTGCTGGCGCATGTCCTGCAGGATGGAAGGTGGCGCCCGCCGGCACTTGTCCTGCCGGATAGTAGGTGGCTCCTTGAGGCAGCTGTCCCTGCTGACGCGGATAGCTGGACTGCACGTTGTGCGCACTGCTGGCCGAGATGGGAGTGTGGTATCCGCTGCCAAATCCGCCGCCCGTGGAGTTCATTCTGGGTCTATAATTCGATGCGGGTGTGTAGTGGGGACTGGCTGCTCCTGCTCCAGCTCCGGCAGCTGCTCCTGCTCCAGCTGCTGGCCGGGAATTTGTGTTGTAGCTGCTGCTGGGGCTGTTGCTGTGGGTGTTGGTGGCCGCCGAATAGCTTGGCGGGGCTGCATTCGGCTTGTAGGCTGGATTGTATGCCGGCGGACGCTCGTGGATGTTGGTGTGGGCTCCTCCGGCCGGATTACTGGCGGAGTATGCGGGCGGCGGACCCTGGGCCTTGGGCACATTCCATCCAATCGGTGCGGAGCTGTGACTGCTCTGCGACTGACCCATGCTCACTTTACTGGGCTGCGATTGGGTGCCGCCGGCATAGCTCAGGCGACCGATATCCGAGTGCGAGTACGAGGGACTCGCGTGCGAGTGCGACGTGGATGTAGAGGAGGAGGTGCGACGCGGCGAGTAGCTGCCGGAACTAGATGATCGGCTCTTACTGCCGCCGCCTCCAAACCAGCGTTTGGCCTGGACATCCTCTGCGATTAGAGCCAGGAGCAGCAGGACTACAACCAGGCTGCCACTCAGTCGCTTCAGTGGCGTATGCGACATGCTGCAAGAGATCATCAACACTCAATTACTCACAATTATCTCAATTGGTGCTTATAATATATATTCAATACATCAATGATGCTAAATGCAAGGCAGACTAAGGGATTTCTTTTATTGTTTTTTTACTGAATTATCATCGAACTTATGGTAGAGGGTCCAATGTCTTCCAGAAGAATTGATCGTTTTACCCAGATGTTTTCAACGCAGAAATGGAGAGTATCTCAGGCTGCGGCCTCAAACCTAACCTTCTGTTCTGGTTCGTTCTCATTTGATTCCCGGTCTCACCCCATTTCCATTCCCATTCCCATTGTCAGTCATCATCTGCCCGCGAGGCCTGAATTTAGTTTATGTTTATGTAAAAAAACAATTGATTCAATTAGCGCTAAAAATAAACTAGAAAAATTTGAAGCTAGCTCCAGCCTAGAGCCTCCATTTTCCCCATTCTCCATGGCTTAGCCCTAATTGATATCCCATATTTGCGCCGAAAGTTTCGCGCTGCCTCCCATGTTTCGATCGGGGCAGGACAGGGTCGAACACTGACGTAGTGTCACGCCCTGATTGCCAGACTTGGAGGAGGCCTGGACTTCCCCTTGCCCCGCTTCCGAGTCAGAGGCGCGTTATGCGTGTCTTGGGCGCCCTCTTAATGATAATTAACTTGCTGATTTTGGTCGGCTTGTCGCGTGGCTACACTCGATTGACTTTTGCTTTCGGCTTAGCTCCCGGCGCACCCTGTCTGAGAGCACTCACAAATGTTAAAGGTCAATTCTTTTGCTACAAGGCAAACGGAAGTTCGGTAGGGGAAGGTGGACCTAGCACTTCTACTGTGAAGTGTTCTAATGACAAAATTAATTTACGTATAAAAAGTGTATTCATACTGATTCCGATAAGCATGGAAAAACCGCAAATGTTGGCATATTATATTCAATGGAACTCATAGAATTAACTGGAATTGATATTTGACACGCAGATGTAATAGACCACAACCACAGAAGCTGAAAAGTAAATGGATAGATTTGTAATTTGTTAAGGAAAACTCCTTTGACCTTTTCAAAATGAATTTAAGAAACTTTCAGGTACCTCATACTGAGGCTAAGGGTCTCTTCCAATAAGCCACAATTGTACCCTGAAAGAGACTTCAAAAAGCAATAGATCTGATTCAGAATCATCAGCAAAGACAGTTCTAAAGACAACATTTGTCTACCATTTAATGGAACGCATCTGCTGTATATTGTAAAGCAAAAAGAACTGCTACTTATTTGGTCTGGTATACACAAATCGTATTTAAACGCTGAACACTGACCTAAAAAAACGAAACAAACGATCGAAGAGCTCTATGCAAATAGGCAAGTATGCAAAACAAGATGAGATACACTTGCTGCAATCCGGAAAGTACGACTAGTACAGAGTAAAACTGGTTTGCCATGAGTCTCCATGAGTCATCGAATGCAGCGCATGCGCAGCTGTGACGTCAATCGGGAAATCGTTCAGTGCGAATGCTGAGAATTGCAAACATGTAAAGGCTGCTGCCCATTAGGGCATGACAAAACACGTAAATGCGAGATTCGGTCTAGAAATTGTCAGCTTATCGCCGCTGAGGTTAAACGTCAAAGCGATTGTAGATTGGCTCTGAAATCCCAGAAAAATACGCATTTCCAAGTACTTTATAATGTGATTCATTGATTGAGGGAGTTTGTTCATTGCTTAAGAGTTATATAAACGTTGAAAACAGCTGCCAAATCAGGGACCATGAATACAATGCAAAAGATATATCGTAAAAATAAATTTAATTGGGCGGCACAGCAAAGCCGGTTACCAGCAACGACGTTTGAGTGGTATACTCTCGAAAACCATATACGGTTGAATTGCTTTTCTTTCTCTATTTATTCAGCTGCTGTTGAATAATTATGCGAATTTTTAGGCGAAACATAATATTTAGTTCATCAGAAAGTGTGTGAAGAGTGTGTAGGGGCAGCTGTTTCAATAGGCGAAACTATTTTGAAATGATGTAATATGGTAGAGTGATCACATTCCCAGGACTTTGGCCCTTAAACGGACACAGATTTGACCCCGTATCGCATAGAGTATTTGCAAGAATTCCCTTGGAATGGTAGTATGCATAATGTTTACCCAATTACCCCCACTTCGATTAATATTCATAAAATAAAGCTAATTTCTGTAATTTATTCCTCCCTTCTCCAAGCTCTTCCATGGACTGATGCACACGTTCGAGAACGTCATTGAAACAAGGGAATTTCCTAATTTTAGTTCAATATAAAAATAGATTCTGGATTTTCTTTGTTCAAATTTTTAAAAGTCGCACAGATGGCATCGATATAGTATAAACTTCAGAGCACACAGCATCTGCTGATATCTTCATTTGAAAAATATTTGAAAAATATCGCTGATCCACTTTGAACTGTCTTTTGGGATATGTCTGTATTCCTGTATTGTTTTCCTTTTGTCAAGACCAAAACTCGACCTTGAATTCGTGCAAATATAAACAAAACACCGCCACAATACTAGTGGCTTAATTAATGCAATTGGTGTTTCCACTTTATAGCCAATAAACATAAATTTAGCACAATTGTTTGAAGCAAAAGTATTTGCATGTGTTGCATGGGTGTTTCATTTGGAACAGAACAGGAAGTTTACACTGGAGTTGGAGTTACCCACAGCACTGTTTGGGATTAGGTTCGTATATGATAACACCCTGTGTACGACTATTTGTTAAATATTTACTTTGTTTGGTGGTTTATTTCGTTGTGCTTTTTATTTGTTGGTCGCTTTCGGCCGCGTGCGATTTGTGCTTTTGTTCCGCGCAAAGTTTCTCGAACAACTGAAATGCGGTTGAAAAATTGTACGCGTTTTTGCTCCGGAGCGGAGCAGAGCAGAGCGGAGCGCTGACCGCGAGAGCGTGGCCCCAACTTGTTGGGGCTTTTGTCGCCGCTATACTAGTATTTGTCATCTCTCTGGTCTCTCCCACTCCGCTCCCTCTTTTTTGTGTGTGCTTTATGTTTTTATTTAATTTCAGTTTTTTTTCGCTGCTTACTTTTGGAGGGGACGCGCATCGCTCTGGCTGGGGATTTGTCGTATCTCTATCACTGCTGCTTCTGTTTTATACACTCCATAATCTCATTCACATGGGATCGCTGCATCATTGATAAGCTCGAGATACGAGATAGGCTGAGCAAATAAATAGGTTGTCTCTAACTCGAAATGGCATCCCTCTGCTCTGTCAGCGCCACAGGCCGGGGCCTATCATGGTGTGAATGATATCGTGGAACGCATCTGGCCGAAGCTTCTCAATGTCTCTCATCATTCTCTCATTCCACGCTTGTTGTTTTCATTTGCTTCATCGCCTGACGTCGGGGCTCCGCTCTGTGGCTGATGTTTCTGCTGTTGGAGCTGTTGGTGGTGTTGTGGGTGTTGGTGGATTTAATGAGCGCCAAGTGAGCTTCATTGCTGTTGTTGGATCATCGCACACATCCACACATGCACACCCTGCCACACAAAAGCTTTTGTGTAGGTGTTTTGGAGCTCGTGTCACTGCTTGGACTTGAACGAACATCGCGTCGCACCCCATCCATCCCATCACCGTCTGTTTTCAGCGTCAACGTCGGCGTCAAAGTTTACAACAGCGCGCCAACGCCACCGTCGGCAGGGTACATTCAGGTGAAGGTAAGGCAGTATCGCTCTCCAGGTAGCCAGGTGTGTGCCAGGAATCTAAGGCCTGCCTGGCTGGTTGGCACTGCTCTACCTTCTCTTAAACATACCTTGGCCTTAGCTATGATTTTTGTTGTGCTTGTGCGCTGAGGCGTTGCATATTGTTGTTGTTTGGGTCAGTGGTGCTCGTGTGGGGCTCCCCGGCACCACCATGTCCATCCACAACTGTCAGAATTGTGATGGAGCTCAAAGGGGCCTTGACGTGGGTACGGGTACGTGCTCCGTGCTCCCCTCTCGCCTGTGGTTGCGTGCTTATGACGGCAAAAGTATTACAGGATGCCGATCCCCTTACCGACCTCTAAGCCTTTTTTTAATGGAATTAGTTTTGGCTTTAGGGCATTAAAGGTGGGAAATTGGATGAACCAGGGTTCAACAGAAACCCATCGGAATTCTGCGTATTCTTTGTTAATGTTCTTGGTATTGAAAGGTGAATGGGGTGGGTGGTGGATTCTACACCCAGAGAAAAAATGCCTTGAACACCGAATAGTTACACGTAGCTATAAGTATTAATGCCATTACATTTGCCATGAGAGTGGCAAGGGGTACATACAGAATATATCTATCTATTACACAGGAAAGCTGTCAGATTAGTACCGAAAACGGAGGCAAGCGGAGACATTCAAGGGTATGTATTGGGTCTAAAATTGTCTCTCTTTTGGTGGGGAAAATGGCAACTTTACAACTAAATAATATTTATTCCAAATAAAACTTAAACAACAACTTAAGGACACTACATTAAAGCGTCTACATTGACACTGGCAGCTCTGCCAGCCACATAGCTGGCCACCTCCACAGGCTCACTCGCCTCGTTTCCCTCAGTATTTCCCTCAGAGGCGCCACCAGCATCAGCTCCAATTTCCCCCGCAACAACAGGCGGATCGGTGGTTGTGGTACTGCCCTGTTCGGGGCCGTCCAGGAGGTCTCCCGCCTCTGGATTAGAAGGGGCTGGAAAGCAGACCACTCGCTCCACTTCTCGCATCAGGTCGGGCTGCTCGGGATCGGTTTCGTTGAGCGTAATGGGGAAGCAAACGATGGTTCCTGGTGGGGGCAGAGCAGGGCCCTCGACATCTGCAGACTCCTCGCTGGAGGCGGCACTGGAGCTCTCTTCCTCCTCGGTGAGGGGGTTCTCTGGAGCCACAGCAGCACCAGCTTCCTCTGAAATGGTGGTCTCATTGAGAGCAGCTCCCTCCGGCTGACCATTGTTGATGATTATGATCTGGCGACCATTGCCCTGCGCTGTTTGCGCTGTTTGATCCTCTCCTTCGCGATTTCTGTGATAGACATGATGACGGTGTCCAAAGAGCATGTTGTTCATCATGTGTCCGGCCAGCATTCCGGTAAGGAAGTCGCCAGTTCCTGATAGAGATGGACATTGGTATCAATCGGGGAGGTATTCCTTCCTTCCCATTGACTTACCCGATCCTCGGCTCATGGACATGGGTGGTTGGGCATAGTACACGGCTCCCGCCGGCAAGGACTGTGCATTGGAGTAGTATGTTCCCTGGCCCGGATGTGTGGGGTAGTTATAACCCGCTGGCATCTGCTGGCGGGGATAGCTGGGTATCTGCTGCTTCGGCGGCATCATGGCCTTCGGTGGGGCCGGTGGCGGTGGAGGAGGCTTTGGCACCGTCATAGCCGTGTGCACTGGCGATCCGCTCACCACACGGCGACCACCACCCGACGACGAGGGCTTCTTGTACTTTCGCCAGCCCCCAAAGAGACCCCCGAATGAGCCGCCGCCTCGACCACGTCCGCCGCGCGCTTCGCTGGGATGCAGCACGGCGACGGTGACGAGGAGCAGACAGAGCACTGAGCAACAGGATCTCATAACGATCACGAATCAATCTCAATCTGAACTGAACGCGACGATAGGCGCGGACGAACTGGAGGCACTGCGGGATCGCCACGACGCGTATATCCATGGAAAGTGACAAAATGCGTGGGACGTTGCTCTACAAAAACGGGCAGGGGCATATCAGACAAGTGGAACACAATGCTGGATAGTATGTGATTGGAATGCAGAGAAAATAGATTACAATTTATTGATTCCAATAAATATTTAGTTTCCAATAAAAATTATTCTGTGAATGAAACTCCGATAGGAGTCAGTCGCCTCCTAAATGTCTTGTTGGATATTAGAAATCTGATCATTGAGAGTTCACTGGGGAATACACCTAAAACCTGAAACCTAAAACCCAAAACCCTCACCTGTCGTAGGGCATTCATATCATCCTTTCATCTAGCACAGGGCACATGAGTTTCATCTATCAGACAATTTGTTTTCGTCTGCCCCGACGACAGACTCGCACTCGTATACATTCCCCCTATCGCTGAAAATTGAATGAGTGTCGCCGTGTAATAATTCAATTGCCTCTAATTGAGACGAACTCAAAAAATTCTCGGATTTTCTCTCTTGTCGTGGTACAAAACGACTACGAAACGCCAGAATATCAAGTGCCCAAACGATGCTGATGGCTGATGCTTGATGATGATGCCGATGTTGATACGACTACTGCGACAATTTGCCAAATGTGTCGCATCAGGTTTCATTACGACAAGAACATGGAATCTGAAATCTTTGGGGCTGTTGCCAGTTGGGGTAGTTGGGGGATTGCCCCGATTGTACTCGAAAGGAAAAAAACAACGAGATGACGACGGCGATCGCTCATGAACCTTATGTTGACCCATTTCAAAGGCATCTGGCGCGATGAATGCATTTGCATATGCACCTTGAAGAGGCCATTAGAATACATCAGATGTGCCCGTTAATATCTGTGCGAAAAAGATTGTGTAAGCAATGAAATCTCTGAGATGAAGAGAGACAATAATGGAGGCTGCGTTACTTACTAGGCATTTGATTCGATAATGAGCCGATCTTATAGAGCTCTTGATGCAGATTCTTCTATATCAAAGACCTCCTTATAGACGATACAGCAGGCGTAGACAAGTCGGTTAAAGTATATTTAAAGTCAGACCCTGAAACCCATATAGAAACCATGTCTTTTGTGGATCATTCCAATGTGGCAAGTACTCCCAAGGAATGGTATAGTTATCCCTGCTCTCTTCTATAACATGGACCTCTTTAGACCCGCTGTTCTCTGCATAAGCCCATGAACAATGCCAGCGAGGTCTGTGAGCTGGTGAGGACTACGGTTACCTGTGGATTGTTTGTGCACTTCATGAACTACCTGAAAGTGGCCTTCTGTAGCTATCATTTGCCTTTCGTATCAGTCTATGCTCTGAGCAGTTTCCTCCTTGTGTTGGCCAACTTTGCCATCAGCTATTTACTAGCCGAATACTTGTGGGTAGTCTAAAAGCTTTGTACTCGCAAAGAATACTCTTACAGGTTTCCCCTTAGCTTCATGCCAAATTTTGTGACGCTCATGGATATTTTTCCTTTGACAAACTTCGGTTTCAGTTACCTGTTCTTTGGGCTATGCTTCTTTATGCCGCACTACCTCAGTGTTTGGATGAGTTGTGGGGACAAGGTGGAGCATCTGAGTGCTCTGCAGTTTTCCCGAATGACAGGGGATTTATTGAGACATTTTGTTGTTGGCGTCATGGCCTTGTGTGTCCGCGGACACCGCGTGGATGGGGTTACCATCTGGTCATGTATGGTCTTTATTTTACTGGGATTCGGCTACCTGATTACCGTGGCCAGCAAGAAGTACGATATCTATCATCTGAACGATAAGATCAATCAGGACATGCATCTGCTCAAGTTTCGGGTGCTTATGTTCCTATTTGTATTCTTCATGGTTCTGGTTGTGGTTTTTGTGATCTCGCACTATAACTTTTGGAAGACCAGTCCGCCCAACGACGATGAACCGGAGGAGGATTTCTCCAATTTGGAAAGCGATGCCGAAGTCATGGGGAGATATCCGAAGCAGAGGAATCTGAAGAGATCCAAGCTCTGGTGGCGAGCTGTGAATGGTTATGGGAATATGAAGGGTTCCCAAAGGTGCCTAGGGATTGTACTGGTGGGTTTGATTGGATCTTTATGTGTCCCATTCGACTATATGCTCTCCTGAGCACCCTTAGGTACCCGTTTACTTTCTGGCTGCTCATATGATTCCTGTTCTAGCAGCAGATCGCCCCTTGAACGGCTGGAACAAGTATGTGAACTGCTTCAGTCTTGTGGTCTTTCCCTTCCTGTACATTCCAGTGGGCATTGGGCCAGTGGCCTGGCTCATATTAGTGTCCACCTGTTGGGAGATCTCTGCTCTGGTCTTCATCTCGACCCACTCCCTGAGGCGGCCGGACTATGTCTGGCCCTATGCCCTACTCGGACTGATCATCAGCTCGGTGGCCATGAGATACTTGATCCAAGAGGTGGAGAATCTCACCTGGCAGTATGTCAGCTTTCGGTTCGATGCGATGCCCGATCTGGTGGCCCTGACGTGCTTCGGCTCGGGCGAGATGTTTTGCGAGGTAGTCATCGTGTGGCATCTGGTCCAAAGGAAGTCGTTCGACGCTGCCTTCGGAGTGGTCATGAGCATGGCCACTTATGGGGTGTTCTTGGCTTACCCCCTGCTCCTCTGGCACGGCTGCTATAATAGCATCTCCCACGTGAGTTACTTGTTCGCTGATTTTTCCCGCATCTAACCATTTTGTACTTTAGATCATTGTCACAGGTCCCACAGAGACCTGCATTCACTTTCTCTTCATCATATTTGGCTTTAGTCTGTTGCATGTATCCATGAGCGGTTATGAGTTTCGGATGTCGCTGTTCTTCTATTTGCTGGCTGTGACTGGTATTTACTTGATATTTCAGTGGATGACGTACTATAATTGGGTGCATTCCTTTGCAACGTTATATAAAATCTGAAATAAGTTATTAATGTTGCAGCTTATCTGGGGATTATGGCATGGGGGCTTCAGGCAGTTCCTTATTAGTGCTATCCGCTTGTGGGACAATCTTCTGCAAAGGAAGGGGGCAAACTGGGGTCAAAGACACACTCGAAGGATTGCGATTTATCAAGAATTTATGTGGCGGTCAGACATTTCAGTTTTGCTCGAGAGATCGCTTTGATCGCTTAGGGGAGGCTCACCCTCTCTCCCCCTCTCTCTATTTGCTCTGTTCATCTTGCAGACGCATACTTTCTGTGACTCTTCAGACTCTGTTACTCTCTGTGGCTGTGACTTCCCACCAAATACCACCTGAATATGTGCTATATATAGTGGATATTCCGACTTCCAATAACTCAACCACCACACGTCTCCAATGTACATAATATAAAGCTTCCAAATCAAAAAACTAATTGGCTTTCGACTCTTTAGAACTCTAATAATTATATAAAAATGTTCTTCGTATAAATCTTGAGCACAGATTTTGCCGAAAATATGTATCTTATTTATCTATATTTATGCCATAATTTTGTTTGAGAATCAAAGTGGCCCATTAAGTCATATTCATGGACAACTTGCTTTCCTTTAGACCAACTTAATCGTCATAAATTTTCATGGTCTATTGATTGCCGACCAGAGAGAGGGAGGGAGGGAGGCAGAGCAAGCCACCATTAAAACTTAATACTGAAGCAGTAGAGGCCTTTGATCTCCCACTCCCGTCCAGTCCCGGCCACTCAAGAGCTAGATTTCAGGCCAGAAACACGCACTTACTCCATTTACAACGTTTAGGCCATTTTGAAAGTCATTTATAATGAAATGTAGATGTTGGGGACCCGCACCAAATAAGTCGTATGTCATCTATAGAAGCAAAAATTAGTTCCTGCAGACAAACAGAACGGAACCGGACTGAAGAAAACTTATAAAATATTTACGAGCTCGAACAAACCCTGGACGGGGGACGGGGTGGAGAGCTCTGGCTGGAAATCCGAGACGAGGTCCGACCCTTGGTGAGGGGGGGTAGGGGTAGCCGGGTGAGTGAGAGGAGGGCATAAAAAGTAACTACTTTGTGGCTTATGTGTGAAGTGCTTGAGGATGCGAAGCCCTGGAACACCTCAACCGAAAAATACTTTTTGTACGAGTGTCGGGGGCAAAAACAAAAGCCGAGCATACTTTCGGGCGGCCAAGGTGTCAGGCACGTGTGTGTGTGTGTGTGAGTGAGTGCGTGTATACCTGTGTGTGTGTGTGTGTGCGTGTTGTGATTGTGTAATAAAAAATATCCAGCTGACATTTTGTGTCAAGCACCTTTTTCATTTTGGCACTCGGCATAGCATGACCAGGTCCGCAGCCCAATGGGGAAGAGCTGTCTGGAAGGAATCCAGCTCGGTTCTAGGGGCTCTAGGGGGTGTGGTCCTGTCCCGACGCTCGCTGGCTGCTTGAGTGATGACAAATTACATTTGTCAGATTTATGACCAATTATGAGCGTGTTATATATCACACCGCCAAAGGCAAAGGCACAGCCAAAGGCAATGGCAATGGGCAAATGGCAGCGTGAGCCACCTTAATGGCAAGCGCAATGAATAAGTCGCCGTCGTTTGTTTGCGGTCTACAGAACATCCATATAGCATCCTCTTGCCGGAGAAAAACGCCAAGACGAAGCCTTGGATACACTTGAATCGGCATTCAAGGCTTCTGTGGCTGTCCTCCTTTGGGGATGGGTGTCTTTGGTTCCTTGCTTGCCACCAATAAACCTTTTTATCAAAACCACAGCATCCTTTCGGCAGTGTATGCTGGTCTATGTCCTGGTAATGCCAGCACGTTTATAATGCTTTTGTACAATATCGCATTTCGCACATTTTCTCGCGCCCATTTCTTCCATGCGAGTACTCCGTAGCCCTCTGCTCATCAAAATTCTGTCGTATTTTTGTTCTTATTTTGAGAAATGTTTGGGATTTCTTTTCGTTGTATTTTTGGGGCGGGCGGCGGGGGGCGGGGCACACGCATGGACTGGAGTCTAAGAGAAATGGGCACAAACATATCGCGTGTCTTTATTTCTACACTTGCGGCCTGGATTATTTATGCTGTTAATGCGTTGCAAATGGCTAAAAATCGCTTTTATTATACGCGCAGTTAAACTTCAATTACGGCTCTAATCATAATGCATGCCAGCGCGTATGCAGCGAGGGTCGCTACCCAACTAATGGCTGCATAAATAACCACCTTACGGGGGGTCAAAGGGGTCTCCGCAGAGGGTTCGTAGGGAGGAAAGGATAATGTGGTACTCGTAAATCATAAGTTCTATATTAATTTAATGCCTAAAACTACTCCCTGGCATTCATAAATGATTTTTAATGGCTAAACGAATTTCCTATGACTGATATAGATATTTTCTTGATTTCCAAAGCATTCTTTTGGGCATGCCACAAATATTTATATTTCAAATTATTCTTTTAAATTAAATTGTGATATTTGATCCTAGTCAAAACACCTGAATCCCCCCTCGTTCGAAATCATTGCCACATTCCGTTGTGACAAAACACAGAAGGCGCAAAGAAATATGCAAAAATGTGAAAACTGCCATAAAATACGCGCCCAAGTGCGCAAATTAAAATCGAAAACCATAAATTACCAAAAACACCAAACAGAAACAGAAACCCAAAAAAAAAAAAAGAAAACGAGAAAATATAGGGAATGTGTAGGCGTATGGCAGTGGGGGCGTGACAGCAGCTGGGCGGCATGAACAAAGGCAAATACACACACACACACACACACACAGACACACGCAAAAGGAAAACAAGAAAATTTTATGCCTCACTTTACAATTCAATCAGTTTCAATTTCCACCTGCCGAATACATTTCCGTTTTACAGTTTATTTCGCCGAGCGGCTGTTTGAAATTTTTTAATTTCAACTCGAATTTCAAAATTCAATTAGTTTTTGGCACACACACACACACACACAGAGAGACAGACAGGAAGGAAGAGAGGCATAAAGCAGTCGGTCCACAGATCCTGTAAAAGATGGCGGCACGGGCCTGCAGACCGCAGATGTCCGCCAGAGTCTGGCTGTGGGTCTGTCTGCCGGCATTGTTGGTTTCACTTTTAGATTTATGCTTTTAGATTTTAATGAAAAGCCACATTTATGTAGATGCCGGTCTCCCGCTCCCCGGCCAGAATCCGACCCAAAAGATGGAAGGGCCGCCCGAGAGGGAAACATGCAAATTCGGTGATTCGGTGGGTAGAGCGGGGGGAGGGACTCGGCCAATTTAAGGTCCATAACTCACGCCGCAACGTAAAAGAAATTAGTCCAGGCAACGGAGTCTCATCCTCGTGCTTTGTTATCGAAAGTGCAAATCAAAAACTTGATTTGTGGCCAAGACAGGAAGGACAGTACATATACGAGAAATATTAATTTTTACTGCCTCAACAGTGCGCCGGCATATTTCTAACTTTAAAGTTTTAAATGGAGTCCAATTGTGGCAAGCAGTGGGACTTGTTTCTCCACCAACCATTCAGGCATTCATAGAAGCAAAACTACTCGGCCTCCAGTACGGCATTTCCATATAACACCTGTGGTATAGTGGTATAGTGGCATAGTGGGGCTATTCATTCGCATCAATGGCAGGCCTAGTTCACTCGATCATTTCGCACTTGAAGCACAATCGGCTGGCTGCCAATTAGGAGCAGAAATTAAAAAAAAAAAAAGAACCCATCGGCCCGAGTGTGCTCCATTTTTTATCGGCACGCAAACAAGCCGTAGTATCTAGGGTCCGCCAGTTGCCTGTCCGGCTATCTATCGACGAGTATCTATTGGGGGCGCACACGCACACACTGTTGCTGTTGGCAACGCGTGTGTGGCGGCAACAACAAGCTTCTTGCAACAGCAATTTGAAGAGCATTGGATCAGCGTAAGCCTCTAGCAGCTTGTAGGCAGGCAGTGGCAAATAAACAGCCAAGGATGTTCCACACCCACACACACACACCCACACACCAGCCAAACGCGCTGTGCAAAAAGTGTAGCATACAACTCGGGGCGGCGCCATCAGCAACATCTGCTGCCGTTGCCGTTGCCGTTGTTGTTGCTGTTGCCGTTTCTGTTGCTGTTGCTGCTGCATGGCAACTGCACATTACCGTTTTGTAGTTTTTCATGCATTCATTTTGATAGTTAGCCAGGCGGCAGCTCACTGAAAATATTGCCCCGGCAAAGGACAGCGCCCAGAAGTGAGCTTGGCAGCGCAGGACCCAGGGGCACAGTGGAACAGGGAGAAGAGATGGCACAATAGAACGACAGCGAAGATCATTGGTGGCTGTTCAGGGAACAGATATACACAAATATACCAGCCACCTATGGAACACTTTATCGTTCTTCATCGAGGCCACCGGCATGTGCAATCCATCGAGAAAGGCTACATATTCCGTTGTTCTTGAAGAAGCTCCTTTGTTTTCTCATTCTCTGTTTGTGAAACGTTGATGCCCATCCACTGTGCGAATGTCTGGGGATTGGTTCAACTGATAAACAAGCGCAGGAGGTATCGGACTCTCTCTCTTTTACACTCTTTTGGTGGGTCGTGTCTCCTGTTCCGGCCACTGGATGGGCACGCATGTGTGCCCATCCCTGCCTGCTGTGCTGCAACTTGACCCCAGGTCAAATGCAACAAGATGCGGTGCGTTGAGTGCCGTTGCTGCTGTTGCCGCTGTTCCTGCTGTTCCTCCTGCTTCTGTGGCCGTTGTTGCAAATGAAATTTTTCTTCAATTAGTTTATTTTCACACCAATGATTTTGATTTCAGATCCGATGGAGAGCCAGGGCCCAGCACCCAGCACCCAGCACCCAAGCCCTGGCACCACTCTGGGGTAGCTTCCAGCCAGATCCTTGTCTGGTCAATCGTGTTGCTTTTGCTGTTGCGGATGGTGGATGCTGTTGCTGCTGCATCGGCCTGTTAACGAGTGTGTGGCAATTAAGGCATCGCGTAATTGTTGCTAGTT